CTCCGCGACAGGAACGCTTGATTGCAGATGCCAAACCATGAATAAGAACGTTGAAGAGGAAACCGCTAAGGGCGGCTCCCTGGCCGATGCCCTCATCAACGTCCCAATCGTTAGAAAGCAAAGAAGACACACGGACGGCTGCAGTCCGATCAGAAAGTAGATCATCAATAAGGTCCCATTCACCTCCCTGAACACCGGCGCGGAAGAGACGCAGCAAGGCACCGTCATGCCAGGCAACATCAAAAGCCTTGCGGATGTCAAGGAAGGCGCAAAATGTGGTTGAGTTTCCTCTCATGCGGAGGGCTTCGATCAAAGAGTACACTTGCAAGTCGGATCCCCACCGAAATCCAGCTTGATACTCATCAAGTGACGGATCGATCATGGGATGAATACGGTTCAACAGTAATTTTTCCAAATTTTTTGCAAAGCAACATGTCAACGTTATAGGACGGTAATCATCACGTGTCCGGCTGTTCGTACATTTTGCAAGAGGAGCTACGATTCCGTGTTTCCAAATGGACGGGACACATGCAAAGATTCGACACAATTCCAGAAACTGCAAGATCACATCCGTCCACCACGGAAGGTCGACACGGAAAGCTTCATACGGAATGTTATCAACACCAGGTGCCTTGCCTGAGGCACAACCGGCCAACACGGTTTGCAATTCATGGAGCGAGAAAGGATCCCCGGAGTTACCAGGCAGCAATAAGGAAAGTCTGAGCTCACGAATGCGTCTGACACGACGCTGCACACGAGCATACTGGCGATGGTCGAACCCTGCGGGATTCTGCAAACTAACATGCCTGAAATGCTCACGCCAGTCTTTTAGACAAGCTTGTTGCACACTGGGGTTGGAAGAAAAACTTGGACACAGATCTCGTGCAACACGAGCGGTGTTTCGACGAAAGCGACGTCGAACTTTACGGGCAGCAGCACGGGGACAACGTGTTGTCAGAACCTCAAGGTCCTGCAACCAAGACGACCAAAACGACTGCTTGGCCGCACGAACTACACGATGGAAGTTATTCCTAGCGACTCTGAAGGTAGTCTGGCTTTGGGCACTGGGATTGCGACGACGTTCACGCCAAGCGGCTTTGCGGGCAAGCAAAGCATTCATGCACGCATCATTCCACCAAGACGGTTGTTGCTTGCGGGGGTCCTCTCCTGATTGAGAGTAAAGCGAACCATCAGCATGCCACAACATGTGCAGAAGCTGATCATAAAGATCATCCAAGCGTTTGCGCAACTCAGTTTTTGGAAGCAGCGGTGGGTCATGCAGTAATTGCTGCACTTGGCTGCTCCAGGACTGATCTTGCACGCCAAGTGGGCAGGAGTGAGGGCCCGTTGGCGAACTTTAAATCGCTGGTCGTCGGCGAGTGACAGTCATCGCGCGGAACGACATCTGCGGCCGGAGGAGTCCAGAGGGTGGAGGCAGGCTGCCCTGAAGTCGCCCCATGGCTCGAGGTGAACGCCATAATGGCAGATGGCAGCATCGAGGGGCAGTGGACGGCGAAGTCGCCGGGAACAGGAGACCACAGGGAGAACACGTCCAGGCGCAGCTCCGGGGGAGCGGTGTACACACGACCGGCAGAAGAACTTGCCAAGGAATGCAACGGGGCAGTGGACGCTTCGTCAAGCGCGGAGATGCGCGGAGGTCAAGCCAGCGAGGAGGCTGCTGTCAAAGCAAGGTCGGCAGGCTCTTGAAGCGCGCAATCGGTGCGACGAACTCACCCCAAGCTGGCACGTGCAACAAAGGTGGGTGAAGACGCAGCACGGACAGGTGGTATCGTGGACATCCTCTTTGAGGGGGTTCCAGACCGAGGGGGAACGTGACGTCACAAGGCCGGTCCGCTGAAGGGGGGCAAACAGCACATGTACGGGCGTAGCGTCTTGGAGGATTTCGCCCCAGTCCGGCGGCGTGGGTGGAAACATCCCTGAAATGGGCGCCGCATGCGATCTTTGTCCAGCAGCGGGTAATCGCAATGCGGTGAAAATGTACAGCCGGTTTGGAGAAGCCGAAGTGTGCGCAACAGCAGGAGCTCCTGGAGACAATGACCCGATACGATGTCGCAGCATGTCGCAGCTCACCGACAAGAAGAACGGAAGCGCTGGCAACCTGCTGCAGCTCGCAAAGGCCCGCGTTTCGGCAGTTCTCGGGAAAGGTCATGCCTCGCGCACTTATGTTCCCAACCACATGCAGATAAAATGCACTGGCAGTGCTCCGGCAAGAAAGGCACGTATAGGCAGGCACGAAAAACGTTGAAGGAGACGGGGTGCGCAAAGCTGTTGTGCAAACACAGACAATATATTCAAAAAATGGAAACACGAGCAGCAGGAGGATGGGGCAAGCAGCTGGCGAAAACCCGTGCAGCCGTTTCCCCGGTGCAGGTAACGCCGTCGCAAAACGGGGTTGCTGCAAAGCCCGACGTACCGTCTCTCAGGAAGCGAGGCAGCGTCCAGGCAGCGTGCTTGTTTGCAGCACGGAACCATTTTTTTGCACCCTGAGTTTTTTCTTCTTGTGCGGGGCGGGCTGGCGTGGACTGAGAGGGGGCAGCATCGCAGCTGCCGGGGCCATGTCAAGTACAACTGTTAGCCGCTCAGCTAGCCGTTAGCATTGCGGCACATCGGCCTCGGCTCGCGCAGTGCTGCATGCACCATCTTATAAGCACCTGCTGCTTGTTGGGCCCATGCACATCCATGCGCACCGTAGCCCAGCGCGATTCCAGCTTCGAAACCAAAAAAAGCGCCGCTTCTCTCGCTTCTGCCCGGCCACTCCCACTTGCCCTGCAATCAGCGTGAGACGCCCGCGACGCGTTTCATGCCATTGGTTTCGAGCCCTTTGTTTGGGCAGAATATGGCGGAATCCGCCGAGGCCACAGGCCCAGGCGTCGCTAATCATCCTCCTTGCGGTGCGAAAAAATTTGGACCCACCTCCGTTGTACGTTCATTTCCCGCACCCCTGCCCGGCCTCCGCTCTGCTACAAGCCGATGAATTCTGTCACACTGCTGGTTTCCGGCTTGCGGGCGGCGTAGCGTTACAATGATTGCTATATTTCTCGAAGAAGACCCGCCCCGCGCGGCATCCCAAGCAGTTGACGACTTGTGCAATCAGCCACTCTTTCGTGACATGCTGCACGCGTTTTCATGACTCGTCGTCCGCCTCGCGACCACCTCGCCCCCTGCCCGCGCTCCGGCAAATTTTGCGGCCGAGGGACGGCCCTCTCGAGCGTGTAGATCGTATTGCTGGTCTTGTGTGCAGAAAAGTTGGTGCCGCAGTCGCCAACGTGCTCGTCAGGACCACAACGAGCTCCATACAGTTCAATCACGTCAATCCCAAGAGCAATGACTGTGAGATCGTGAGCCCGCACAATTCCAGGATTTTGCGTTCTTTGGCTCATGTCGCACTGAACAAGGCAGCTCCGGCAGTACGGCCTTGATCCCTGCTTGGGAGGCCGGCAGCAATGAAAGGGGAGACATCTTGTCGTTTGCGAGCCATAAAAAGGCATGGTCGAAAACTATTGAGGTGCGCGAAGTGTATGATCGTCGGATCTTGTCGATGCATGAAAGTTGGCACATCGTTGCGACAGATGTCGACATTTTTCTGGCCTGAACCTTCAGCGTCATTGCGGTCCGTTACTGTAAACAATTTCGGCGAAAACACGGAGCTGCCAACACACATCCGTGGGACCTTCGACGACACGATCGCCTGCGAGAGTTTTCGAGCAGAGAGGCAGCGAGAGCGCACTCCGCGGCAACGGGAAGCAAACCCGAGAATCGCGCGACAAAAACGCTTCGCGTCGCAGATCTTCCAGCTTTGAAGGAAAGGCAGTGCTGAGCGAGAAACCGAGGCCACGTGGCCCACACGCCAACGAGGCGGCAACAGCGGGTGCGAATCAGCTTGGGGCGGTACGTCGTTTGCGTCCGGCGTTGTCGGCAGTCCTGACCGGGAGTCGAAATGCTTCCAATGGTATAATGGTGGCATCAATCGCCGTCCTGCCAGCCATGCCCCAGGGACATCCAGCACCTCCAGGGGCTCCAGCTGAGGGGCTCGCTACAAATACGACTGCGACGCGGCCATCGTCGGACACTGGAACCGCCGGAACATCGATGGTCAAGTCGGCTTAGCGAACATTGCGGTTGCCCTGCGCGCCCAATAGGTCGAGCTGTCCTCGGCGTCGCATGCGCGTGCTGCAACAGGCAGTGGTAAAGGCGGAGCCGGGCAGTGCGTGCGAGTGGTGGAGGCACTGCAATCTCAGCGGAAGACGGCGAAAGCTGCCGCAGTCTCGCAGCATTCTGCCCTGCTCGCAACATCAGCAGCACGCGAGATGCGGCATCAAGGTTAGGAAGATGCAACTCAAGCACGTGCTGGTCGCTTTTGCAAGCTTGAATGTCGCTTTTCCGAACCGCATAGAGATGTTGTCCGCATGCTTCGCAAAATCGTGCAACAACGGCGAAGACATGAATGTTGGACGTCTACTTCTTCCAATCCAGCATTAAACAGAGCGGCCGCAACTGATGCGAAGGCTGACTCCAAGGAGGAATGCGTCCACTGGTTCAACTCCTCATGACAAACTATGATGGCAAAAGGAAGCAGTAAAAGTTCATCCACATGTGGCGACCGGCTTGCTGGGACGGAACATCCGGAGCTCGCGATCAACACATGTGTGGTCAATGCCACTCCGACTTTTACATCGGCTCGGGCAGCTCGGGCGAAGCGAAAGAACACCCACAGTAGTTACGTGTTGTGCTACAGCAAGCAAATCAAGCTTTTCCAAGCATGAGGTCGTCACGCTTGTGCGTTGCATGTGCAGCGACAGCACTGCTTAAGAAAGCATTGGTTGAAGAGATTGAGCCCTTTGGGGACGCCGTGTGACAAATATACACAAATACCTGTTTACGTAAGCTAGTCATGTGCACATTGAAAATTGAGACACCCAAGGTTTCCTGACCTCCGCCTGCAAATTATTGTGTTCCTCTTCTCGATTTGTCTTCTCGAATCAAGAAGCTGAGAGGCTGAATTCGGTCTTCCAGCTTGGGAAATGCATGGAAAGACACCCAAGGGGCTCATCAGGTTCACGATTCGTTGCTTGTGCTCGGGCACAGCCAGAACCAGAATCCCCCGAATAAGAAATAGAGCCCCTCAATTTCTCATGTCGGTTAAGGTTTTGCCATACAAGAAAACACCATAAGATGAAATTGAGAGGCTCGATTTCTTTACGCTTAAGAAGTGAGGGTCTCAATTTCTTGTTTTGGGGGGCTTGGCGTTAAGAAGCACTTCATGAGGCCCTCGTAACAGCTTTGGAGGGCTCTAGAAGAGGCTCTACAAGGGCTTAATGAGGGCTTACCAAGGCTTTGTCAAAAAAGATAAACCCACCCAAATAAGCAGGCTCGATTTCTTAACTTGAGTCGTTTGTGGCACGCCTAATGTTTGGGAGTCTGACCCCTATGCCCGGAAAGGCTTAAACGAAAAAACGTGCCTCAAAATTAAGAAACCTCGAACAAAAAAGGGGCGGCGCTGTCGCTGTAACGAGACAAGCGTCGCAGAAGAGGATGGTCGATTTATCAATGCTCGTCCGAAACGAGAAAAAAGCCCCTTTGACAGACAGCGCTGGCCCGGGAAAAGTGAACTGCCTACTGCTTTGACACAAAGCCGCCTGTCCAGAGCTCGGCGAATGCAGAGCTGGACTTTGCCCTTCATGCCGCGGTGATGCATCGACGTGCTGCGCAGTTTCTGTGACTTGGAATTCAAGCATCGCTGCCGTTGCTGTCGCCTGCGTTGCCTGCGTCGCCTGTGGGGCTTCCTCTGCTCGCGGCACCCGCGGCGCTGAGTCTTTGTATCTCTCTTGCTGTGCTGACACAAGCTCCTCAGAAACGCAGGTCGTTGCTGTTGCCAACCTGTGTCGATTGCCTTCAGCCACCGCATTCCGCAATAGCGATCGCTTCAGCTTGTCGAATGCATTCCGCAAGCTTGTTCTCCTGCAGGCACAGGGCTACCCGAGAAGAAACGGCCCGGTGGCTTCGCTGAGGACCCTTACATCCTAAGAACCAGGTCGCTGTCACTTCGGTCCCTGCAAAAGGGGAAGAGAAAAAGAACCGTTTTGCCTGCAGACAAGCCACTCCGCCGCACATGTTGCAGGAAATCGGTCGTGCAAACGCAAAGCAAGCGCAGTTGCTCCCATTCCCTTCTTGACCGTCCGTGCAACGGCCTGCCGTCTGCATGTAAACAGCCGTCGATTGCAAATGACCGTTGCAGCGGCCCAATGCAAAACGCCATGTATATATGGCACGATTTCATCTCGTGGCCACGATGGTGTACCTGCGTCCACGAAGGAAGTGTTCCACAACTCATGTCCCTGGGCCAGAAGCCAGAGATCACTGTCCTTGCATTCCGGCCCATCACCGAGCAACCGCACAGGATGGCAATAAGATGTGATGTCTGCAAGGCGCTCAATCGATCGCAGCAAGTAAAGCACGTAGCTCCAAGCGTGACTTTGGCTGGCGCCATCTGGAAAACTCGACATGAAATTAGACTTTAGTAAACCTAGCTACCTGCGAGGACGCTGTTGTCGTGCTTTGGTTTCTTCTGGATCATTTTTGTGGCTACTTCAAGCGATGAACCCAGCAAGGTCTTAGCTGCTGCAAACGTCTGGCGTGGTGGTGGTGGTGGTGGCGTCTTATGATTTCATGCTATTGCATGCTGGTCTGAACGTGGAACTTCCCTCCCTGCCATACGGCCACTGGCCGCAAGTCATGGTAATCAAAGAAGGGCACACTTGAGAAGTTCATCCAGGTGCATCCAAGCTTATGAGGATCCAAAAATAGCTCAATCGGTCGCTACTGCTTCTCGCATCCGCGAACATGCTCGTCTGCGCACCCTGCTCTTCTGTCACTCTCGGCACTACCGCTTGCTTCGGTCTCTGCACTCACGCACAAACTCACGGCAACCTCTGGCTCGCTAAAGACATGCCTTTGCCATAGACACCAGGAACAGTGTGGAGCAGAACTGCATCACGCAAAGCTGACGTGATGCAGCCGTCATCAACCCGAAAGAATGGCTACAGTGCAACATGGCGGCATGGGTGATTCGCAGCTTTCCATGAGTTCAGAACCGCAGCCTTTCCATCGGGCCGTGGCTTTCTAAATGCGAGGTCTTGGAGAAGTTACATCATGTGACAGAAGGGCCTGCTGCGCACAGCCGACCTCACTCGGCACAGGGTAGAATAACGTATGCAGGCGTACATACATCATCCATTCAGTCATTCACTCATTCAGACACAGGCCGACGACCGATTGACGGACGGAGAAACAGGCATCGTTGTAATTGCTGAGCACAAGCAAGCGCACTCATGAATATGAGTACCAGTAGAAACAAACCTACACACGTGTGCATGTGGTGATGATACACATCTGCATCTGCAACAACATCTACATCTACATCTGCATCTACATCTACACCTACACCTGCACATACACATACACATACAATACAAATACAAGTACATATACATATACATATACATAGACATAGACATAGACATAGACATACACATAGACATAGACATAGACATAGACATATACATATACATATACATATACATAGACATAGACATATGCATAGACATAGACATATGCATAGACATAGACATATACATATACATATACATATTCATGTACATATATATATATATATACATATACACATATAGATGTATACGAATACTTAAATATTTAAGGTTGTATTCGCACACTTGCATGAAGTGTGAACAAATCTGTATATATATATATATATATATACATGTGTATATATATGTGTAGGCACATGTGTATACGTAAATGTGTGTGTGCGTACACCCTGATTCTAAGCTAAGGGTTTCTGGAACAATACAGGATGTGTGGCAGGGGGACCGTCTGGTCTGTAACAGTGACGGTCCAACGAAGAGGCTGTTACAGATCACTGATATGAGCTGGGGACGCCTAGCTCACTTACCTGCCGTTTCGATCAATTCGGAGTGACAATCATCGCTGTACATTGTTGCCATCGTGTATCGGAGCAGTGAGATTCAACATGTTTGCTTCAGTCGCGTCTGATCCTGCCAGTTCTTGCAAGGCAGCCTGAGGTGACGGTCTTTAAGGATTATGGACGGTCTCGAAGATCTACCTCGTATTTAGAAATGGAATCGAGTGGAATTGTCCTGATGGACTCCTTATCTCCGTGTGTGGCCTTGTCGCCAACGGCAACAACCGCTCCTGCGGACTGCCAGGGTACGTTTTGCGGCCCATGATGGTACCATAACAGGCCGTACTCCTTCGGGACAGGTCAATAGTGCAAAGGCATTGTAAAGAGTGGCCCTTTCTTGTCAGGTGATGGGTCTAAGTGCTCCTAGCAAGCAATCGGAACATTGGTGCCCCGATTGGTCAGGTGATGGGCTTACGTGGCCTAAATGGTCCTTTAGTGGCTCTAGTAGCCTTTGAGTGACGATGTAAAGTCATCGAATTCAGTGGTCCTGGCAGCATCTTGGCTTGTTTTGCGGTTTGTAGCTACCTTTCGCGCTGTTAACATGGAGCCGTTGCTTTGCTTTGAGTGTGGTGCAGAGAGAAGGAGCCGTGAGTACTGCCTTCAGGGACTAAGGACCGCTTGTCTTCTCAGTCTGTCAGCCGAGCTATCGTCATGTTTTCTCGCTCTCTCTCCCTTCTTTTCTATTTCTGGTCGTCTGTCAGCCGAGCTATCGTCTTCTTTTCTCGCCTTCTCTCCTTTTCTCTCCCGATGACGACGATGACCATACTAAGGAAAAAAGCGAGCCTCAGGACGCTTATCCGCTCTGTGGAGGGGTGTGTGTGTGTGTACACCCTGATTCTAAGCTAAGGGTTTCTGGAACAATACAGGATTTGTGGCAGGGGGACCGTCTGGTCTGTAACAGTGACGGTCCAACGAAGAGGCTGTTACAGATCACTGATATGAGCTGGGGACGCCTAGCTCACGTACCTGCCGTTTCGATCAATTCGGAGTGACAATCATCGCTGTACATTGTTGCCATCGTGTATCGGAGCAGTGAAATTCAACATGTTTGCTTCAGTCGCGTCTGATCCTGCCAGTTCTTGCAAGGCAGCCTGAGGTGACGGTCTTTAAGGATTATGGACGGTCTCGAAGATCTACCTCGTATTTAGAAATGGAATCGAGTGGAATTGTCCTGATGGACTCCTTATCTCCGTGTGTGCGTGTGCGTATGTATGTCGCCCTGCCTGGACGCTTGGCGTCCATTCGACACAAAACTGTTTCTCTCAATAAAACCCACAATTGCCACCATGTTTCGGGCTTCCAAACCTTGGAGCCACAGCAGCACCGTGGCCTTCTGAATCCAGCTAGTATAGACATGGCCGTATGTGCAAAGCGCCGTGCTTCTGAATCCCGGCAGTAGTTGAGTCAACATATTCTTGGATGTGCCTCTATGCGGGGGAAAGCCATGTGGCTGTGGTCCCGAATGGAAACCAAAGTGGGCCGTGTCTTGACTCCTGTCAGCACTTGGGGGAAGCCTTGGGCCGTGCCGTTTGGCCACAACTACCTGCGAGCAAATTGAAAAAACAACATCACTAAAGGCTCTGAGACGCGAAACCCAGAAATTATGCGCAGGGCCAGCAAAACCTCGGAGAGCCAAATTGCAGAATCTGTGTCGTATTCACTCAGCGTGTGCCCTCAAGAAAGAAACCAGACTCCACAGGTCGTTGGGTGGCACAGTGTCGCAGTTCAAGTTATGATATGCCATCACTTCGGCAGCTATGCTTTTCAAACCCTGGAGTGGGCGTTGAGCCCTGGGATGTCGCAGAGCCCCTGCACGGAGGTCCTGGTTCGCGGTATGTGGGTCACGCCAAGTAACTCAAAACGCATTGTAGACCTGGATGCTCGCAACTCATTAGACCATGCACGCCATTCTGGTTGGGTCATGGGTGCAATGAGCACATTACAACGCATTAGATGGTTGGGCCATGGATGCGGTCAACTCACAACCTATCAGACCATGCACGTCATTATTGTTGGGTCATGGATGCTGTGGACTTAGGACGCATTAGACCATGCATGTCACTATGGTTGGGCCATGGAAGCTGTGAGCTCACAAATGGATGCTCTGAACTCACAACACATTAAGCAAAGCGTACATGTCATGAATTGTGGTTGGGCCTTGGATGCCGCCAGCTTCATGGGAATGAACGTTATTATGCCATGGATCCTGCGAACTCACGCTGCGCTAGGCCATGCAGCTCATTATCGTTGGGTCATCTATATATATATATACATATAGATATAGATATATAGATGCTGTGCATTTAATTTAGAACGCGTTAGCTCATGCGCGTCATTCTCTTTGGGCTAAGTTGGGTCATGGATGCGCCAGCAGCAACCCTACCCCCAGACGTCAGAGCGGGCTGAAGCAATTGCGTAAATTTGTTTTCGGGCTGATGCCTTGAACCCTGACGCCTAAATCATAAATACATACATATATATATATATATGTATATACGTATATGTATATATATATATATATATATGCTACCCCCCCCCCCCCGACGGACCTAACCTTTCATGGCTTTCATAAAGCAACTCTTTGTCCAACCCGAAGTGAAGTCTAAGAAGAAATGGGAATTCGTGACCATGGGAGTGATCAATTGTGTCTCTGTGCTGTTGCAGATGGAAGCCGGAAGTCATGTAAATATCGGTAGATTTCGTGTTCGTGGGCATTACTTACTATCTCGACACGTCTTCCGTCAAGCTTTTTGTCTACAAGCATCGTGACATTTATATTACGTATCTCCGCTCTCCTCTTGATTGCGCGTTGCTCTCAAAGCCCATACTGCTGCATGTAAAATCTGCTTGCGCAGGCGCACACAGAACAAACATGCAAGCTTGGTTGTATATAGTTCTGCTTTTTAGTCTTAGTCGTGTTCCAATCCTAATCTTAGTCTTATTCTTAGCCCTAGGCTGCGTGATAGTGTTAGTCTTAGTCTTGACTTAGACCTGTTCTGGGTTTAACCGCAGTATTATGATCATCATGAGTAGTAGTCTTTATGTTTGTGTTGTAGCGTTAGTATTAGTTTTGAGTCAGTATTAGCATAAGTACTAATGTTAATACTACCATTAGTTTTAATATTAGTGTTCGTGTTCGCTAGTGTGAGTGTGAGTGTGAGTGTTAGTGTTGGTGTCAGTGGCACTGTCAGCATCAGTGTTGCTATTAGTACAAATGTCGCTATGAACGATCGTGTTAGTTGGTGTTAGTATTCGTATTGGTATGAGTCTTAGTCTTAGTTTCGATATTTGTGTTCGCATTAATAGATGAATAGTCAAATATTGGTATGAATTTGTATTCGTATTTCTTCGTATACCAGTGTGCCAATATACCAGTATGTCAACCCAGACCACCGGGAGGATCTAGAAAGTAGATCCCTTAATGGGGGTTCTTATCAAGTACCCTTAGCAGTACAGGGTCCGAAAACGGTGGTTCTACTTTCCAGATCCTCCTGGTGGTCTGGG